CGACCAATATTGAATTCTGACCCAAGATATTTTCACCAAGGTGATTTAAGTTATAGCCGCAATTACGATCAGATCAGATCACATCACGTCAATCACTTGGCTAGAAGAGGACATTTGGACATTTGTTCCGTCCGGGTGATGAGAGATGGGATAGGGAATGTGTCTGCACATACGACATTACCAATGTGTTACAAAGTAACAGGGCACATGTTTTACTTAAGGGGTTTGAGAATGTATCTAACCTCTTAATGTCATATCATCGTGGTGACAAGTCACAATGACAAAATGGCTGCATGTACACACAATGTTTGACCAAGTAGTATGACCAAGTAGTTTCTGAAATATCAGTCAATATGTCCTTTTCTTCAAGGTTTTTTACAAAACACTTTTTGAGGTACATGTGATCTTATCAGCAGAGATGACAATGCTTCTAAAGTCTTGTCACTTATCTCCTGCAATATGTAAACATGACTGATAAAAGGACCATAAGACATCCTTGGCATGTATCACATAAAGAAAAGTAGATCTGTCCTACATTTCTGCTCCACTCATATGCTATTTGTTTAATTTAGCGCCTCTCTTATGGGGAGGTGACACTCTCAAGACCTCAGTGCGACATATCCAGTGAGTCATTAGCTTATCCTTGTTTGTGACATATAAAGCGTATGTAGGAGCACATCTTGATCAGGATTAGGTCAATATTGGTAATATCATATGTCGCCATGATGGAGTTACCTCCCTGTCAACAGCTGCAGTCTCTTCCACTTTGAGGAGGGTAACATTTCTGGGGAAGCAAAAGCATTGCATACTTTTTTTCAAATGTTATGCCTTGAAAAGGGCCAGATTTAGAGCACAGTACTCTTTTAAACCTTAGCAGTGACTGTAACTTTTTATTTTAAGATTTTATGATTGTATCATTAGGATGTTATATAGTCATGACATTATACACAGAATCGTCTGACAATAATTACAGTTGGTAAACCTAAAAGGAAGCAATTGATTGGTGGCATTATCATATTATCTTTCATAGGCAGTACCTAATGCCTTAAAAATAAGAAGAGTCAAATCTCTTTAATGTCTTTATGCAAACCTCTAGGACAAAACTATTCCTGTCGAGTCGAGGAGAGAGCGTGTGATGCTACAGGCACAACAGCATGACCCCACTCTCAGCTCCCAGGACGTTTTCTTCAAGCCTCCCTATTGGGATTCTTGTAGCCTACATTCCCTGCTTCAAGGTCGGCAGCAGTGGCAAATTAAATTACTTGTCCTGTTTTGTGGTGTTGGCGCCGGGTCAACAGCAACTTGGCTAAAATGATGAGTGCGGGACTCTGGAGGGAGCCGCATTTGTCCTGAGCCCAGTATCATGTTTGCAAAGCAAGTAGCAGCGATGAGAAAGGCTGAAATCAAAAGCAGGGTATTAAATTCTGCTTCTGTAATCACTTTGCAAAAAATTCAGTCACCTCTGCTTTGCACCACTTTGTAGAGTTGTCCTTTGGGTTTACCTGCTGCTGGAAGATGTCATGTGCTTGCACATGGAGTGATGCTGGAGTACCGTAGGCCCAATATTTTTAAACTCACACCACCGCGCACGCCACCTGCTGGTAAACTAAACGTTAAATGTATTTTTTTATTAATGCTGTTGTTATCACAGTTGAAAAGGATGACTTTGTGTGTGCCCATCCAGTAATATAACTATTAATTGGCAATACATTAATTTAAGATCCCTTTAGACACGCATCTTTCACTCAGCAGTCTTCATTTCCACAATCACAATGCATTTCTGTCATGTAAGCTGTCTCGTGTTAGCTGTCTCTACAGCAGCATGTGGAGTTTATCTCTCAGTTGCTGAGGGGGTTGTTATCAGCAGACAAACAGCTTACACACCACGCTGTGGAATGGGAGTAACTTAGAGTATGTAATGTGGTGTCAAAACATGACAGAAGCTAATAAGCAACTTGATATTATCGTACACTCGGCTGCTTAAATGTGTGGGATAGAGGTCTGCTTACAATGTCACCAAGCAAAATTATAGGAAAAATAAACGATGAGCTCACACATCACCAAATATTATATATAGGAGTGTTGTATCTTAATGTTTGGAGGATGAAGTCATGTGTAATTTGCTCATCATATGACATTTGCTCTGTTAGATGCACTACAACTGACAAGCCGAATTTACAAAGCTACAGGTCAACACAGAGCTCACCCTCCACAATAACATGACTTCCAAACACACAGATTATAGTTATAGCTGTAGCACTTCCTGTGCCAAAATCACAGTTCACAAGACACCATCATTATTGACAATATCAAAAGATCAGAGGATGCACAGCACTTTCTTATCTAGTTTGTAACTAATTTTCTATAATGTATCATTGTTACACAAACCGTGGCTAGGCTGAGGACAAACATCATGACGGGTGGTCAAGTATTCCCAAGAAGCATCTAATGGAAGGGTCTTTCAAGAGGAAGAGAGCCAAACATGAAGACTGAGTGGACAAGTACTGCAAGCACAGGTAGCATTATGCATAATGTGTGGCCATTAAGGTCTACCAGAAGTACAGTTCTATTGTCACCTCAGACATCCACATCCCCGAAAGCTATGCACTAAGTTTTGGTCATAAGATATAACAAATACACTGTAGCAAAGTTGAAAATATGAACAACCAGAAACACCCACTGGTGATATGTTTAACTGCATCAGAAGGTGCATTTAAAAACTATATAATACTACACAGCCTCCTGGTTGAATTCGGAATAATGAATCTACAAATGGTGTGTGATACTTTAGATCAAACAACTCTGATGTTGCAATATTATGATCTTTTGTATTTGTCTGTAAAGATGGCATTATACTTCCAAACAGTACTACCTTCATCTGTACTTCCCCTAAGTGAATCGACTATTGTTTCTAACTACTGTAACCAGTTGAGATCGTGGAGAGCTTTGAGTACCTCGGAATTACCCTTGACAATAAACAAGGTAGATTTAGGCTATTTATCATTTCACAACACAGGGTTGTATGAAAAGATTAAGTTATAGTTCCCTTTATGCTTTTCACAAAATACAAACGTTTTATAAAAACATTATAGTAGATGGGTGGATGTATAATAAGTCATAGAAATAAAGCAATTTTACATGGTGGAGAGCTGAGGATACTTTTCTCACAGCCTGGGGGGGGGCTGTTATGGATGCTTAGCAAGATCTCTTGGTGTCACTTTTTAAGGCACTGGGTACCCCCTTAGTGTAATTTCTGGATGTGCAGGGCAATAAATATGCAATGTCCGGTCAAGTTAGAACTAATAAATATGCAACATCGAGTTAACTTTCAAAATAAAACATGGTTAGGTTTAGGAAAAAATCATGGTTTAGGTTTAAATAAATTGGTTAGTTTTGTAAGTAAAATTACCAATGTCACATAGCCTACTTACATTGCATAGCTTAACTTAAGTTAAAAAGATTGGTTTCACACAGGAAACAGAAACTGGCCTTCTAGGTGTTTGATATGTGATGATACATTACATCTGGTCTGGTGGTATGACAGGGGATACTTCTGTGTCTCTTACCAGACAGCAACAGGGTGAACAGTACCCACCTCAGCTGTGGCTGGCTCATCAGAATTGGGGAAAGTGCCACAGGGCGGTAGTCGTTTACAGATTTTGTAGCTGCAGGGATGATGGAGGCTGTCCTGAAGCAGGTGGGCACCATCTCTTGTGACAGTGATGTGTCAAAAATGTAAGTAATAACATCAACTATAGCTGATTGGTACTTGTTTTTAGTACATGGACAGGGATATTATCAGGTCCAGCAGCTTTACTCATATTCACTCTCAGCAGCATTCAGTGGCTGTTCTGGAGATGGACTAGACTTTACTGACTCTTTTCTGAGCATATTAAAGAGAGCATAAAATGCGTTTAGCTCATCTGGTGATGTGGCCAAGCACATGATGCGGCACTCCTGCATTTGTAGCCTCTGATGTTTGCCATGTATCTTCTGTGTTGTTGTTGAGGTCTCTCTCCAGTCTCAGCTTGTGACTTTGCCTCCTTGATGCCAGCTTTCAGTCTTGCTCAGGTGGTGCTCTGTGCTTCCTTATCACTTGACCAAAAGGCAGCTTTTTTGGCTCTGGAAAGGGCCCTCACTTCTCCATTGATCCAGGTTTTCTGGTTGGGGAATGAGTGTATTGTCTTTGTGATTATCACATCATCAGCATTTGCTGATGTATGATCTCACTGATGATGTATATTCCTTAAGATTGATGTGGTTCTCCTGGTTTATGGCCTCTTTGAACAGATGCCAGTCTGTGCACTCAATACAGACATCTGACCACACTTTAACTGCTTTTACTGATGGTTTGTCACTTTTTATCATCTGGGTGAAAGTAGGCAGGGGAAGCAAGGAACGACAGAGGCTCCCTCAGTCACACCCCACCTTCTGCTCCTCCTGCAGGAAAATCATAGAACCCATTCTCCCCTACTATTCCACATGCTTCCCCACCATGTTCAGTCACCAACAGGAACAAACTCCTAAAAAAAAAACACACTATGCCTCTAAAATCATCGGTCTCCCTACTCCCAACCTCTTAGACATCATTGACACTACCATCAAGTATTCACTATAGCACACAACCTCAGCCATCCCCTGAACTCATACTTCATTCTACTCCCATCCACCTAAAAAAGCATGTTACAGTAAAAGCTGCCATCACTGCCCTCAACAAACTGTAACAATAAAACTCTAATAGACTCTAGTGTTCTTGTGGCTGTTTGTGTTCCTTGTGGCCATGTTGCTGTGTTAGTTTGATTTGATCTATCTATCTATCTATCTGTCTATCTATGTGTAATCAGACTGACATCACTGTTAGTCTGAGGTACTACAAACTTGACTATTTCAACCAGAAGAGGTCAGAAAAACAGTGGTTTCCTGCTTGGTGTTATGCCGGGACTACTAGACACTAGAGAGCAGCAGAGCACCACCAAACAGACACTCTCTGACTCCTATTCTCTCCTCTGGATACTGTACTACAGTGCACAGGTGTTTTTATTTTAAAGCTTCACACATTAAATATACACACACATAAACACACATAGCAGTCATCTTGTTATTCATTCATGAGTTTAACTGTGTGCGTGCAGTAATTAAATTTGTGTGAATGCAGTCTGCATGAGCCCTAATCATAAAGAGGATATCTGGGTGTAAATTGACAGGTCTATTTTGATATACTTCATATACTAAACAAATTTGGGGCAGAAAGAAGAAACTGAAGGTTTAGATACAAAACAAATAGATGTTAGACAAATGTAAATAATGTCTTGTCCATCTTTATGCATTTCAGCCACAGTGAGGAGTAGTTTGAAGGAGAAGCAGTTCACCCTATCACCTTGATACAGACTGCTAGACCCAAGGCCATCCCTCTCCCAAGGACCTATTGTTGCTTTACGTTGACAGAGTAGATGAATATTTAACAGGAGGAGGGAAAGTGGTAGGCATCAGATCACTAAGAAGAAAATAACACTCTCCCCATCATGTGACCAGACTGTCAATGGTCTGCTGACAGACTGCTGCTCTTGAGTGGCTCCTCATTTCTCTGTTGGCCAAATATTGGGCTTTGAAATTAACTCTGAATGAAAAAGGACATCTGTGTAGACTGGTGTGACTAGTTTACACCTATAAATAGAGATGGGATGTTTACAGGTCAGATGGGGTCGTACGGTGGGTTGGATGCCATTGTGAGAGATGCAGACAGGGCAGAAATATGTTAGCACCATGGAGAGCGAACAGAGGCTTATCCAGGTGATCAGAGCAATGCGGTCCGAAATCAGAAAGCTGGAGCTGGAGAACATGGGCCTGAGGAGGATAGCTGGAGCGAATCTGCGAAAGAATGCAACAGTCCCCACCATGACAGCAGAATGCAGAGGTAGACTGTATGTAGATATTATTAGCACTATGTAGGCCTATTGATGAAAAATCTAGTAAAAACCCAGAAATATCCTCATTAGACAGTAAAATGTGATCATTAGTTTTGAGGTTTTGTGGCTGAATAGCCTACTCCTACTCAGGTTGGTTTAATATTCTGAGCCTAATGGTTATTATGCTATTAGAATTTTTGCTTTGAAATGAATGTCTTTAAATGTTAGAGTCTTTATGTTTTCGTATGAGTTCAGTGGACTCACCTATTTGTCGTTGTTTTTTCCTTTCTCTCATTCAGAGAGCGTCGTCATGACAGTCAGAAGATATTCAGTCTTCCAGCCGTTACCCAGTCATCGAAACTGGCAGTTGAACACTGCCAAAAGTGAGCGGAGGACTGAAAAACAGCAAAAATGAAAATTAGCATGTCATTCTGTAGTTTATCTGACATATAGTGGTCGTGTTAAAAAAAGTTCTAGCACCTGGGGGGCAGGTTTAGCTAATAGCGTCATCTCTATTTTGGAATCTGGAAAATAGTGTATCACGTGCACCAAATAAAGTATTTTCTCTTTTAGTTGAACTAGTTATTTTGTGACTAAAGGGTTCTTGACTACTTACAGCTTTTGGTGGAAATATTAATATCTAAATGTAATACCAATGTAACCGCTATGATATGAGTGAGCAGTTATCAACCTGTGGAATGCACCTGTCAGTGTTCTCTCGCGAGATTTCAGCGTTGCGCAGTGGAGTACAGTCGTCCGCCATCACTGCATACAAGCTAACATTAGCCAAAAAACCACTGAGAAGAGAACGAGTGACAACAACATAACAGAGCGACCTAATTCCCAAAGGGGAGGTCATTGAGTTTCCCTGCCGCTTTCCTGGCGTAGAAAGCAAACTAGCAGATGCCTTTCATGTAGTCTTTAAGTCAACTTAGATACGAAAGTCGTTCTAACTAATCATGTCCAACCTCAAAGGCGGCACCAAGAAGGACACCAAGATGAGGATACGAGCCTTTCCTGTAAGTCTTTACCGGCTCTGTAAGCGCTGAGACGCTAACTATGAGACTCGAGTTCCGTGGATGACAGGTCTTTATGCTAGCAACTGCCTGCTAGCTAGCTGGTCAGACGAGTAAAACATGCCATTGTCATGTGAAAAATGCTATTAGCTGGACACATTAATGAAGCACATTAGTTAGCTGTGTTATCAGTTCAGTTTATTTAACGTTAGCTGGCGTCTTGGTTTTAAAATGCTACCGTCGTTTGACATGAGCTACTGTTAGCATATATAAGGAAACTTCCTCAGGGATATACTAGCTAACACTAGCTAAGTAGCAGGCCCGATGATAATGTTAGCTGACTTGACACCAGCTAAGTTAGTCAGTCAGCAAGTATTGTTATGCTATGGTAACGGCACGCTCTTTCGGCTGTTCGTATTTCATTTCACCACGCATTTTGGCTTTGGCTGTTATAGATCCCAATTAACACATTATCATTAGTGTTAGCTTGGGAGCTAACGCAACATCAACCTATTGTGAGACCAACTTGAGTAGTTAATGTTGTTGACGCTGTCAACCTTAACTAGCTACTAACTTACTGTCACACAATGATCACCAACGACCAATGTGTTCTGTGTGTATTTATGTATATTGAACAGGAAATCTGTTGTACTTTCTGTGTTCGTTTGTGTGCTATTGCTTTTGTACTGATTTTTGTTTCCTGACTACAAGTCAAGTTTCCCATTTGGCATGATAATAATTACTAAACTGAATTCCATATTCACCCATTGTCAGTTATAAACACTGTTGTCATTTTGTATGCAGTCTTGTCCAACTTATGTAGCTCTTGCAGCATCCTTCCATTTCTTGTTAAGATTGTAAGTGTGAAACAGACAAATGCGTTTTCTTCTGTAGGATATTCAGGTTTATGAGTGGGTGTCTGGCAGAATGAGTCAGTAAGCAAATGAGTGAGTGAACAGAGTTAATCCTTTCACAAATGTTGAGCTTACATGCAAGACCAGCCATTAATCCACAGTGTTGCCACAACTGGGTGGTGTAAGTCAATATAATAGTAAACTTGAATTCAGAAATTTATATTATTTAACAGACTGGTGACCAGCCCCCCGCGACCCTGTACGCAGGATAAGCGGTTGACGATGGATGGATGTTATTTAACAGCTCTTGAATTTGTAGTAGCAATTGAGACATGCTCATCATGTGATCTTAAAACTCTGACTAACAATTTGACTTGAGCTGGAATTTGGGCAGGTTAGCTGTGAAGCTAAAGTTAGTTTTCACTAGATGCATCTATCCAAATTTCTTATCTCCTAATTCTAGTTTTAGTGATTACTAATGTAATACCAGTGCTCTCTTGCTTTTCCAAATTCAAATCTGTATGTACCCCGTACATGGAACTAATCCATTGATTGTATATAAAAATAACTAATCATAATGATTTTAATGTAAAGTAACATGAGGCCAAAAACTGGCAGCCCACATGACTGAAATGGAAGTAAGTAATAACTGAAACACTAAATTTTATAGTGACATGAAATAAACCGTTTCATGAAGATCAGTCACATCTGGGTGATGCCCAGTCCGCTTAATAAAGTCTGTATTGGCATTGATACATGCATCCCTACTTTTGTTAGATTTATGTGTGGCAGACAAAAGGTCTTCCCTTCAGGTCAGGTTCTCATCTGCTTCTTGAATGAGTTAAAGAAGTTAAACAATACACTGTGCTTTTCTTTGGTGAAATAACTTGTATGTGACATCTGCACACCTTCATTGTTATTGTAAGGTAGAAATCACAATATATCATGCTAAAAATAATCATTTCAAGATATTAGAAGGTTAACTGTGGTTAAGTATTTTATTTTAGGTTGAACATGTCAAAGTTGGTAGAGAAAATTGACACACTTCGTGGCTGGTTCGCTACCTTCTCTCATTTCTCTGTACAGCTTTGGAGGTACAGTTTGGGAGACATGTCAACACCCAAGGACTTAATGTCTTGGTTTACTGACTTTAATTAAATTTTTTAATCCTTCATGACGTTCAGCAAAAGACTTATGTTGCCAAGGTGTTTGGTTACCTGCATGCTGGAGTCGAGCAGCACTTGATTGTCCTTGGGATTGCAGAGCTATTCACGTTGTGTGTTAAAAACAGTGGCACGGTATTCATGGCCTCAGGTTTTCAACACAACTTGTTATGCACATTGTTTTGATTTCTGTTGACCATGGATTGCCAAAATATCATCACACTGCCGATGTTACCACACTGCCAAAATGTCTGCTTTTTACTTTGCTTTTCCTTCCTTTCTGTCTGCAGCAACAAAACCAAAAGCATGGTGTGTTGGACTTGTACCACAACCTTAACGATAACATGTGTGGAATGTGGAAATCATATCAATGATAGCTCTCTGTTTCTGTTGATATGACAACACAAGTATAAAATAGTGATTTCATGATAACCTTCTGCTTACCAAAGCTAACCGTTCCTGTGCTATTGCACTGAGATGCTTGATCAAATTGCTATAAAATGCAGGCAAAGTTATCTGATAGCAGACAGAATAATCCAGGCATCCCATGACATCACCTGCATTGTGTCACAGAGAGAATTGCAAGTAATAGAAATGTGCCTTGTTTACATCGTTGCTACACTTTAGTTCCCAAGCTTGGCTGTGGAAGTCATCAATAACGGTTTTCCTGTCCACACTGCAAGGTAGAAATTGCTTGTTTAGTGTTTTGTGTCATTACACAACAAAGAACATGTGTTGGACCTGTATTATTCGTATGGCTCTGGTACATTTTTTTGCAAAGAATAATCACTGATGTTACTGTTGTCATCTACTAATGCCATGCGGAAATAATTTTCTGTCCCTCCTAGATGACAATGGATGAGAAGTATGTGAACAACATCTGGGACCTTCTAAAGAATGCCATCCAGGAGATCCAGAGGAAGAACAACAGTGGGTTGAGCTTTGAGGAGCTGTACAGGAACGCATACACGATGGTGCTCCACAAGCACGGAGAGAAGCTCTACACAGGCCTGAGGGAGGTTGTCACAGAGCATCTCATCAACAAAGTAAAGAAACATTTCCATTGTCATTTTTTGGAAAATAAGAGAAATTTGCGGTCATCAGTAATGTGCATTACTATAGTGTCACTTTGTTTTAAGTTTCCATTCTTCTGGCTATTGTCACTTAGAGATGTCCCTTTCTGGTAAACAAAGAGATGTAAAGCTTTAAACAGTAAAGCACAGTTTTGAATGATGTTTGATTATATTAATAACAAAATAAACAAGCTTACATCCCTTTTACCAAGCATAATCCACAAATGGACCGTGAATGTACTTTATATACTTTCATCTGCTTAAATACTTTCACCTGCTTAACTACTTGATGTGCAATACTCTGCTGCTACTATTTATTCATTATTACTGTTCACCATAACAATTCATTTAATTATGTAAATATTGTACATATCCACACTCCCTTATATTTTTCTTTATTTTATATTTTTACTCGGATATTTATATACTTCTTTATATACCGTTATCTTATTTATATTCCTTTTGCCTTTGCCTGAGCAATGTGTGCAACTGTGACACAGAATTTCCCCCCGGGGATCAATTAAGTATTTCTGATTCTGATATATTTCTAGACAACTACAAGGTCCAAAGCTGTTCACCCTCTCTTTACATTTGTCCTTATCACCTGATGTTTACCAGTCACACCAGAGATAACTGAAATATCTGTTTGTATTTTCAGGTACGGGAAGATGTCCTAAACTCTCTTAATAATAACTTTCTGCAAACACTGAATCAGGCCTGGAATGACCATCAAACTGCCATGGTTATGATAAGAGACATCCTCATGTATATGGTAGGTGCGCATTGTTTGTCATATAAATTTATTTTATAGTTAAATCATTTTCTGTGTGTGTGTGTGTGTGTGGTGTGTGTGTGTGTGTGCACGCGTTTTTGTTTGGGAGATGAGAGGGAGGTGGGGGGAGGTTTTATTTGGTGTGGTGTGTTACAGCAACATGTTCTAAATAAATAACAAAATGTTCTGAATAAATGAGAATGTTTAAATTCCAAAGTTTGGACTTATAGCATTGTTTGCTTCGTTGTTAAGTTTATACAGTTATGCGAACACAGGACATTATAATACCATTACACTAGTATATGCTTCTTAAAGAAAACTAAGACTATACTATACAAAAACACTTTGTTAAAAACGTTGCATTTTAAGAAAACACTTTCTTCCTGTCATTCCACTACTCACACACTGGACACTCAGCCTGCCATGCACTCCCTGTTCCCAACCCACATGCCCCCAGACACACCTGGTAGAGATCTGCACTGTATTGAGTTGTGGATGAATTTCCTGTACAAAGATCTCTCCCGTTTCACAATACAGTGGTTGCTGGTTTTTTTTGTTTTGTTTTTTGTCAATGGGAGAAGACCAGAAGTTTGATGTTTCTCCCATGGGTTCTTTTGCCTCTGCAAGTGGATTATGGTGCTTGTTCCCTGTCATGAATAATTATGTGCTTATTGAAGAAATGGTCTTTTGTTTC